AGCTAACGTCGCTGTGGGTGCTAAGGTAAGCAGTAACGTGGACACGACTTCTAGCGCCCATCAGCTCCGCCGCTAGCCCCCTGAGGCCCCGCAATGTGGTGTCCCCAACTCCCGCCCCCGAGGCTCATGAGCCCAGTGCGCCAGAGGGCGGCCACCTTGGGCCCAGGAGATTTCCTCAAAACAGTGAGTTTCACACGGCGCTCCTGGAACTTTCGGCGACGACTAGCCTCCACACTGCGGACAACCTTCCTACCATACAAATCGTGGCCCAAATTCCTGAGATGAGCCTTACTACGGAACCCAAGCCTGCGCGCCGAGAGGTTGACCCTTCTCTCAGCGGCCACAGAGTGGGCCAGGAATCCCGACTTCTTCGGCTGCAGCAAGAGACCGATTGGGGCCAGACGAGTACACAGGTCTCTGACCGCAGCGAAAACAACATCTGCATTGCTAACGTCTGGACTCTGCCACTGAAGAGAAACGTCGTCCATCATAACCCTAGCCTTGGTGGTCGGAAAGTGGTAAATAGTTTGCCTGACAGGGTTCAACATAACCACCAACATATTAGCACACGCGTGGCTGCACCCCGCCAAAATCCCTTGACATGAGATATACATTTCGGAGAGCGGGCCGTACGCATCTATACACCTGGGAGCGACGTATGACTGGATCAACATCCATCCTAACATCCGGGGGAAACCTACAGCTCTGTATATATATATATATGTCGAAGGGGACGGACAGACGAATCATTTCGTGGCACTTGGCCATATCTAAGAATACGCTGATTCAGTGCCAGCCTTTGGCCCTGGCAATCTCTGCCGAAAGATTTAAATCAAACGCAGAATCGCTCGCGCTCCTCCCAAGCCCGCTACCCCAAAACTCCTCCGTCCAATTATCGCGCTCCCAGCGCTCTGAAACTGGCCCACGGACCCTGGGCCGGATCCTGATCAAAGTGTCGAGCAAGGCGATAAGTGGGTGGCCGCCGTCGCCTTTCGGCAGCCAAATTAATTTAGAGACGAGCCTCTTCGACGGCCACGCCCCCACCTTCTCACCTGATACAGCAGTGACGCAAAGGCTTCGCGGGCCTCGTCCGAAAGGCACTGGAGCGATCGAGGATGCATGGACACAAATCCTAAAGCAGTGCGCTCCGAAAACCGCCCAGCGGCAGCTCTCAGCGCTGGCACTCTGATTTCTGGCAAAAGCTCCCAGGTCTCAAAATCGCCAGGAAGCTCTGGGGCCCCACAGTTGTGCGCGGCCCACATCGACCCCCACTCAGACAAACAATCATCCGACAGCTCATAGGGTTGAGCCCGCTCGGTAGCTCCGCTGACCTCCTGGACAGCCTTGGTTTTCGAGTAGCGGTGGGCCGCTCGAGCCCCGCCCAAGAAAGCTCAACGCACCCAAGACTGCCACTCCACATTTTTCCTTGCCAGAAAGGCGGCCTCGTGGAGCGCCGCCCCGCCCAGGATCCCCTGCGCCAGGTCGCCGAAAGACTGGTCGCCCAGGACGTCGGTGCCAGCCTTGAAGAACCCCGCTGCGATGGCGTCGAGGTGCTGGAACACCCAACCGTGGGCACGAATCCTCTGGCAGAACCTCTCGACCTCATAGAGCACACGACCCGCTCGATGCAGCCTTCGCTCCTGGTCGCCATCGTCTAGGACGAGACGGGGGAGATAAATCTGCAATACGGCATCGACACTTCGCAGATGTCGGGCCCACCTGGCCGTCGTGCTCCAAGCCGCCTGCCCGGAGCTCCTCTGCGGAAGCCGATCTCGAGGCACGTACTGAAAACGCTGCCACTGCATCTCCAGCGGGCCACCATGCCCAGCGTGTCGATGCGCAGCAGCTCCCACGACATCGTGTCGGTCGCGCAGCTCAAGGTCCACTCCATGCAGAAAAATGCCCCAGAACTCGCTCAAATCCTCAGCACTCGCAGCCGAGGGAAGCTTCTCATGAAAGTCGGACCAGCATCTGGGGTAACGAACACACCCAGGCTTGGCCAACGTCGGCAACTTCTTCGGCTGCTTGGGTGCTCTGCACCACAACACCGTGTTGGCCCCCCAGATCTCCCTAGCCACAGGCTTGCGAGGGGAAGTGCCAATGTCTTCACACACCAGGTGAACCTTGATCCTGAAGCCGAGGTTAGTACTGACAACGATAGATCAATCTTGGCACCAGGGATCGACTGAGTACACGTCGGCCCCTCAGGTGCTGCAACCACGCCCCCAATGCCTGCGCACCAAGCAGCAATCTGGTCAGGATGCATCTGAAGGTCGCCTCCAATGATCCACTCGAGCCCTAAGCTGTGGATGCGGTTGACATATGCTCCGACCTCGGTCAGCAAACTCACATTGGCTGGGCTGAACTCCTCCGAGGTGTGCAAATACACCGAGATGGCGATGAACCCCTTCTTGCAAAACGCGCGCACATGGCCAGCCACCGCACGACCAGGACTGAGGAGGCCACTCGGCAGCAGCGGCGGCGCAGTCACTTGGATCCTCTTAGGCGCCAACACCGCGACGCCGCCATGCGAGCCGCCCCCCTCGCTGGGAGTAGCTGGTGCCCAAACTCCATGCTATCCTGCAGCGGTAACACGCATCTGGAAATCGAGCAACTGCTCAGGCAATCTGTGGTGTTCTTGAGCCATGACCACGATAGCGCCAGTACTCAAGGAGGATTGCTCAGACTCCAAAATCGCGGCCAAGGGCCCGTACGACGTAGTATTAGTAGTGACAGCTCTAATCACTGCTGCGACCGAAGAGAACAAGACTGAATACATGAATGCTGAGACTCGCCCCTGATGCACACTAAGCCGAGGTCCGCGCCCGCTTGACAAAGTGCGCGAGGTTGTCTCCTGCTCTCTTGGCCGCCTCACGTAGCTCTGAATCTCCCTCAGGGATCTCCACGTTGACACCCTCCACGAAGGCGTTGAGCACCTCTGGGGGGTCTGTGTCTGGATTGGGGATGAAGGCTGCACCAGCGGCCTGGGCGGCAGCTGCTCCTGCTTCATGGCCACCCGCCTCGGCGGCCTGAGCAGGGCGAGTAGCCTCGGCCTGCCGCTCGGCAGCAGCGCGCCGAAGCTCCTCCTTGTGCTTCTCCTCGGCCTGCCGCACCTCCTCAAGGACCGCGTGCAGCTTCTCCGCCATCGACTGTGTGCCGCCAAAGCTGGTGAGCAGCTCAACCAGCCTCGCGACCGATAGGCGTGCCGCCTGCGGAAGCACCTGCTCGAGCGAGGCTGGCTTGCCCTCAGGAGGCTTCGGCGCCGCCGCAACGAGCTGCCGCCTCTGCTCCTCCAGCTCCAGGATATCCTTGGACGTGTCCTGCAGCGCCCGCTGCGCCTCCTGCAGGCCCTGCTCAGCGGCCTCAAGCGCAGACTGAGCGGACTTGATGGCCGCCTCCTGCTTCTCGCGCCGCTTCTCCAACTTCTGATGCTGGAACCCGATCTCACGCAGCCGAACATCCAACGGCTTGCCCGACGCCAGCCTCTGCCGCATGTCCTGCTGCTTGGCGCGCAGCTTGACCAGCGTCTCGATGACATCGGGGTCCTGCATGTCTTTGATAGCCTCGATGTGAGCGGATGTGTCCGCCAGCTGCTTGCGCAACGCACCCTCCAGGTCACACTGGAGCACTGGGTCGTCGCCGTCGTCCACCTCCATGCGAGCAGGCGGGCGGGCGGCAGCAGCACGCAGCTGGGCCAACTCATCCTTGCACGTCTTGAGCTCCTTCTCCAGCTTCGCGGCGGTGCTGCTGGGCGGCGCCGCCACGTTCTGCGAAACACTCTTCGATGGCACGAGCGGCTGCTTGTGTCCCGCGAGCGCCGTCGACTTGTGCTGTCCACACTTAGTACACTTCTCCCTGTCTGCTCTGTTCCACCACCTGTCTTTGCCTGACGGCGACCAGCAGTGTTTGCAGTACCACGGGGAAGCCCATGCGCGCCTCTGCAACCGATGTCCCGAGGGGACAGGCACCATCGCGCCTTGGCCGCCGAGGCCTGGGCGCCTGCGCAGAAAAGGAATGTTGCCAACGCGCGCGGGCGACCCGCAATACAGTAAGTGGAATCCTTGGAATAAAAGACGAGCCTCCTGCCTGGGCACGCCTCTGTGGAGGCTCAAGCTGGTGGGGCCGCGGGTCCCCTTGCCACAATGTCTAGCCCTGAGCGAAACGCTACGGACTTGAGCAAAAATGGCTACGGAGGAGGAGGCGGAGGAGGAGGAGGAGGAGGAGGAGGAGGAGGAGGAGGAGGAGGGGG